GAGCTCCATGGGGTTGTTGTGTCCCAAATGAAGGGCACAGCACTTTGCTTTATTGAACCTCAGATATTGAACCTCAATCAAAGAACTTAAAAGCAAAAAACTCATCTGTCTCAGAATTGTGTGGAAAGTCTAGGGAGCTCTATGGTAATAACAGTCATTGTTCTTAATCAATATATATCAGCTTTGAAAGTTGATTGAAATGATCTCATAAGGTATCAACGTCTGTATGCATAACAGTCCAAATGTTAACATTCTCAGGTGTCTGAAGTGTAAGTCACTCGGTGCTGTCGATGGTACTTTTATTCTAACAAGTAAAATCTCTTTTTCTTCCCTGAAGGATTCCTCGAACAAGGCTTGCTAGTTCAGGATGAAAAGAAATTACGAGAACATTATACCAAAACTTTGCAGTTCAAACTGGACATCCTGTCTCTCCTGCCAACAGACCTGGGGTTTTTGAAGCTTGGTTGGAACTACCCTGAACTGCGATTTAACCGTTTGCTGAGGATCGCTCGGCTCTTCGAGTTCTTTGACCGTACCGAGACCAGGACAAACTACCCAAACATGTTTCGGATCGGAAATCTTGTGCTCTACATTCTCATCATCATCCACTGGAATGCCTGTGTATACTTTGCCATTTCCAAAGTCATCGGGTTTGGCACCGACTCGTGGGTCTATCCCAACGTGTCTGTTCCGGAGTACGCGCGGCTCTCGAGGAAGTACATTTACAGCCTCTACTGGTCAACCCTCACACTGACAACCATCGGAGAAACTCCTCCCCCAGTGAAGGATGAAGAGTATCTCTTTGTAGTCATTGACTTCCTGGTGGGTGTGCTGATCTTTGCTACCATCGTTGGTAATGTGGGCTCCATGATTTCCAACATGAATGCTTCCAGGGCAGAGTTCCAGGCCAAAGTGGATTCCATTAAACAGTACATGCAATTCCGAAAAGTCACTAAGGATTTGGAAGCCAGGGTTATTAAGTGGTTTGATTACCTCTGGACCAACAAGAAAACAGTGGATGAGAAGGAAGTTCTCAAAAATCTGCCCGACAAGTTGAAGGCTGAGATTGCCATCAATGTCCATTTGGACACGCTGAAGAAAGTGCGAATATTCCAGGATTGTGAGGCTGGACTTCTCATTGAGCTCGTGCTGAAACTGAAACCTACAGTCTTCAGTCCCGGGGACTACATTTGCAAAAAAGGAGATATTGGAAGAGAAATGTACATTATTAAGGAGGGAAAACTGGCTGTGGTGGCAGATGATGGCATAACCCAGTTTGTAGTCCTAAGCGACGGCAGCTACTTCGGTGAAATCAGCATCCTCAACATCAAAGGCAGCAAATCTGGCAACAGGAGGACAGCCAACATTAGGAGTATTGGGTATTCTGATCTGTTCTGCTTGTCTAAGGATGATCTCATGGAAGCCCTCACAGAATATCCAGAAGCCAAAAAGGCTCTGGAAGAGAAAGGGCGACAGATTCTGATGAAAGACAATTTAATAGATGAGGAGGCAGCAAAAGCAGGCGCTGACCCAAAAGACTTGGAAGAAAAAATAGGAAGACTTGAAGTAGCTCTGGATACTCTGCAGACTAGGTTTGCGAGGCTCTTGGCAGAATTCAGTTCATCTCAACAAAAGGTGAAGCAGAGACTTGCCAAAGTAGAAACCCGAGTGAAAAAATATGGTAGTGGCAGCTTGTCAGTCGCAGAAGGAGAGGCTGAAAAACCTGAGGAGGAGAAAAAGCAGTAACAGAGTATTGATATTTCCTCATTTATTGGAGAAAGTTGCAGCATTGAAAGCCATAAATGTATGTAAATATGTGTGTGCATACATAGACATGATTATTTTTATATGAACTCATGAGAATGGTTTTTAGCATTTTTAACCGAAGCAGTATTTTCTTGTAAATAGGACACTGTCACTTTCTTCTTAGGGGGAGATTTGGTCTGGCACTTGGGTACTTTTTTGTACTGGGTTTCATACAACTCGTGTTCAGAATGTCTGTCGTGTTTGGTACCTGTTGGTCTTGACACATTGTCTCTTCCCACACGTCGTGCATCAAGGAGGCATTGAAGTGGAAGGGATTGGTTTTAAAAATTATTTATAGGGTCCCTGCTCTACCTTGCTATGTTAGTAGCTGATTGAATGCATGGAGGGACATCTGGGTTTCTCAAAATCTCTGTTTTTGCACAGTGTAGAGTCTGCACAAACAGGTGAACTACAGCTAAGCAGCATCATGTACCTGGCCATGGCTGTGTAGCCCTGCAGACGTATGAACCAGACAGAATCACAGAATCAAGATTCTGGATGTGCATCCAGATGCTTTAGCCTGATTCTCTCTGCTGAGTTGGGCTCTGCACCAAGGACCATGCTGACAGTGGCAGTGCTCATTCCTGTCCTTTCTGGCATGGTCTGCAACAGCCTTTGCTGCTCTGCAACTGCTTCACTTGGGGAAAGGGTGGGAGATCCCTTTTGTTTTCCTTAGCTCAGTTCCATCCCCACTATTAAAACCCTCACTGGGAAGGGAGTCCCCAAGAGCTCAGTGGGGAAAGGCACCTGGGGCAAGATTGCTTCACCAAAGCTGGGAGGAGAAAAGAGGACCCTGGTGCCTGCAGCCTCTGTTTGTAGGATCCTGAGTGGATTCCCTCCCAGAGAGGCTGCTGAGAAGCCACCTGGGCTGGCAGGGCAGGCTGACCCTTCCAGGCAGTTTTCTGCCACAAGGTTTCTGCAAGGCAGGGAGAACAAGCCTTGTGTGGCAAACTCATTCCAGTCACTATGTTTTCTTCGTTTTTATTTGTCTACTACCTCCTTTTCCTATTTATTGCCATCCTTTCTCCACAGTAGTTGTTTGCATCAGTCAGGGAGAGTGCAGGCCACGTCTGCTCAGCTCCTGCTGCAGTCTGGTTGTTGTTCTGCTCATAGTTGTCTGGCTCTGAGGTGAATATATGCCTCCTCCACTCAGCCTGCTACGATATTCAGGGCAGGATGGCACTGAGGTTTCTTGCTGCAGCACAGTTGTCTGGCTCTGAGGTGAATATATGCCTCCTCCACTCAGCCTGCTACGATATTCAGGGCAGGATGGCACTGAGGTTTCTTGCTCTGCCACATTGCAGCCTCAGCATCTGCCTCTTGCATACCCCCTTAGCCTTCTCTACCCTGCTGCTTCCAGTTTTTTCCAGGCTTCCCTCCCATTGAGGGGATTTCTCTAATACTGTCCCACTGGGAAGATATTAGCTTTCTTTTTTTTTTTTTTGCTGTATTTTTCTGTCATGTAGCTATATTTATCCTCCCATATCTCACTGCCCATTGAAAAGGATGGAGTAGCAGAGGCCATTCAGCATCTCTGGATGGGAGCTGGATCCCCCAGTGACACTGGGTACTGCCATGGGCAGTCTCTGGTTTTAGTTGCCCTCAGCCCTGACTTAGGAGCCCCAGCAGCACGTGGGACTGGTGGCCTGTTGGAAAACTGGTGAGAAACCCACTGATAGAAGAGGGTGGTTTAACTGGGAGAGAGCAGAATGAAGAGGGGTTGTGCAGGCACTCATCTCTGGGCAAGCAGCTGTTCCCCTGATGTTGGCACTTTTGAGCCTGGTGAGGGAAACAGATCTGCCAGTGACTAACACATGGGGCTTTGCCAGCAACACTGGCAGAGGAACCACTGGGTAGGAATGTCCACACGTGCGCCAGGTCTAAACTCCTGTTATCACTGGCCCAGAGGCCATCAACACTTAGATATCTACTGCAGACTGGGCTTAACCTCAACTGTCAAGATCTCCACTGACTGTACCAAGCAGTTTGGAAAGTAGCTCAGCCCTGTATGTGGCCAGTGGCAGTATTGGTCCTTCAGCTGGATCTTGTCCTTACTGTCTTTAAGGGCTGGAGAGGAATGGGGCAGGTCAGTGAGGCTGGTTTTGGCAGGGCTGGGCTGAGCTGGGTGTTGGCTAGTTGAGCAAATCCTGTAAGCACAGATGGTGTGGTCACAGGCAGCTGAATTTGCAACTCTTTTACCTCCTACCAGAGGCAGGTACCACCCTGGGCTGAGGCTGACAGCTCTGTGTTCCTCAAGCACCATTTCTGGTAGGGGTTTTGTACTGTCATGTTCTACATCAGTCATCATTCTCTGTAAATATCCCTCTACCCAACATTCTACAGCTGTTCCAGCCCACTAAGTGTATACAAGTAGAACTGTTTGAAGTACTGTTTATACTGAATTTGTACCTGTTTAAAACCCCTGTAAACACAAGGCTGCTTCTTTACCTGGTGGATCAGAACAGCCTGATCTGTCAATGAAATACATGTTTGCTCTTCCCTTTCCGTGCCTCTTGATCTGGTTTTCATGTGCCAGAAAAGGAGCATTTTGATGCTATTAGCTTCAGTCACTTTCAAACATACAGCTTCTGGCGTGATGAAATCACATCCTTGACGTCTCTCATCTCTCTAAGATGTTTTTTCCCCTTGTTTCATGTGGTACAGCATGTACATTAAAATATTTTGAGTAACGTTCAAGCAACTCTGTGTTTTCTCTTACCCGTATTCCTCTGGATTTTAGTGTTTCATGACAGACTTTGATCATGTCAGCACTACATGGAAATGTAGAAAATCATTAGCTGGAACAGAGACCTAAGTGACAGAAAGCCAAATGGTTTGGGTGGTGTTCTCCCCTCACCATGGGGCAGCTGGCACACAGCTTTGTCTTGGGCCCAGTTTTCACACCATCACTGCCCAAGGGATGCTGTGCACTGTGGGGTGCAGTGCTGGGCTCTTCATGCTGTGCTGGGCACTATGGGGTGCAGTGCTGGGCTCTTCATGCTGCTGTCACCTGTCTCCTGTCCTCCCATTCCCCAGCTCCATGCACAGAGGCACAGCAGGGACAGTGGCTTGTCTAGCAGATGTGTTTGCACCTACCAAAAATCAGCTGGCATGGGCTGGGCTGGTCCTCAAGCCCACCACAAGAGAAAGCAAGGCACAGGGCAGTGCTCACAGAGCATCTGAACTCACACCCTGAACCTGCCAATGTGTCTAAATGTCCAAGCACTCACTCCACATGGCAGTAAGTGGGTGGCCATGGGTGCTGCTCCTCCAAACTGAACCACTCAGCAGATGGGCAAAGCCCCAGACGTTTGCCCAGGGTGCTCCAGCTGCTTGCTGCTCAGTGAGCTTTTCCAGGAAAGGGCCTTAAGTCATGGGCCCTGTGCCCTGACATCGAATCATTCAAGCCTTGCTGCTCTCTAAAGTGCTCTCAGAAACACACCCCACCCTTTTCCTCTCATCCTCTACTATTATATTTTACAGTTTTCAGAGTAGAAAACTGCTCTGGAAATCCAATGAACTGGACAACAGAAGGGGCAGTGAGAGCAAAAAATCTCGTGTATTTCTACAGCTGAGGATTGGGGTTAGCTTGACTGTGCAGATCTGTCTTCAGAAACAGCCCAGGGAAGGTACAACCCTGTTTTTAATTCTTTTTGCTTAGGCTTTACAGTTTTATTCCTGCCAAATATTTATTAACGTCCAGCAAGAGGAATCTGCTTTACATTAAGAAACAAACTGCTCATTTCCCTTCCCCCCAAAAAGCTTTTCTCTGAGCTGGTCTGTATGTTGCAGCCTTGACAGACACATTGATGTCTGTATCACTGCTGACAGCAAGGATGAGAGAGATTCACAAAGCCAAGACTGGTGCAGGGTGTCCAGCAAGATAACAGAGTCAGGCTGGCTGAAGGAGAGTTGCTCTTCACCCTGAAGATCTGCCAGATGACAGTGTTTGCACTTGGCTTCAAAGTCCACCAGCTCTTCTATTAATGTTGTCATCCTGGAACAGAAAGAATCAAACCATAATTTAGCATTCATAATAATCCCTCACATATCCCTGAGAGCAAAATGAATGATGCACTAAATGGCTCTGGCAACTGTACAGGCAGCTAAAGCACAAGATTTCAGCTGTGGCAGCTTTCCCGAGGGAAGTCAGTGATGCAGGAATCCCCCAGCCCGAGGGGAATGCTGCCTGCGAGGCCTCAGGGAGGATGGGAAGCCTCACTCCTTCCCACTCTGCCTCAGGTGGATGAGGAGGGAAACACACAAAAGCCCCGAGCTCTGGGGCTAAAAATGGTCAGGTCTTTTTTTTTTTTTTTTGCAACCACTTCCAGCTCCCAAATCAAAGGCTGGGCCTTGCTGCTGCCAACTGTCCTTGCAGCTTCATCGTGGAAAATGAAGTTCTGCTGTCCTGTGCTTACAATCCTTCCCACTCTGCACCCTAAGAGCCGAGGGAGGTGGAAAGACTTGCATTATTTAAGCAGTTACTTAAGGATGAACACAAGCATTAGCTTTGCTCCAGAAGCAGCAGCAGTTGTCACACAGAGGTTTCCTTTAGCAGAAGCTCTACCATCTCTGCTGGCTCCTGCAGGAAGATGCAGTTGCAGTGCCAATGGCTCAGCTTCCATGGGTTGTCTTCCCACGAGGCCGAGGAGGACTCAGTCCATCTCTGACAGAGACCTGTCTCATCTGGATAGGTAAATGAGAGGTAAAACCAGAAGTGCAGAAATAGGAAAGGAATTTACAAGTTGTTTGCAGTGGCTGGTACAAACCTTTCTGGAACAGGGCAAGATGGAAAACTGGCAAAGCACAAGTGTGTTCCAGACTGATGGGAAGTTTCATGAACAGCTATTCATTTCTCAGCTTGTCTGCTTTAATATGCCATTTCTTTCATCTCCAGACATGAGAAAACACCAAGCCCAAACCCCCCAGTGCCCTGGGAGAGGAACATCCCCACAGCAGTCACAGCACCTGAGCAGCCCCTCAAGGTGTGCAGCATGGCAAGACCCATGGGCACTCCCTGCCCTTCCTGAGGGCACTGAGAAGCACAAAAGGAATTTTTTTTGTCACAGCTTGTCTCCAGGGCTGATGAATCAAAACAACTGTGCTATAAAGATCTCCTTTTAGGAGAACTAATTGCAAGTTCCTCAGCAAAGTACAAATATTTTACTTACAGAACAGTGCAGATAATTAACCTAACTTGCTTCAGTGGGATTCCCACTCTTTTCAAATTACAGATTGCTCTTTAAAGCAAGTCCTTAGGGCTTGTTCACAGGTACTTGTCCAATGCT